CGAGTAGAGAAGGTGTAGCGCCCTCACATGAAGGCCTGCTTAGTTTAAGCAAAGTATTAAATAAAACAAAATTTTAAATTATTTCATTATCTGTGTTAGTTGCACTGGAAAACATTGAAATGTTGAACTCACCACCTCTACCTCACTACATACTATTTAATCTCATTTTGCCTCTCAGTTTTTGAAAGACTACAGCAATTTCACTTGGTTTATCACAGATCCATAAACATCTCAGTAATTAGGACAATGGTACAAAACTTTGTTGCTATTCTAGGTATCTTTTAGAGTCTGATTTTAAAGAACAGGAGTTCGTTCTTCTACATTAAATGTATCTTAAATCTAAAAGCAAATCTGAACTCAGTTAAACATTTAGTATCTTCTTCGTATAACTCAACTGGTTTTGCAGTGTTTTAACAGTACTGTGATGGCTTGCATTGCCTACCCATTATTTCACAAGGTGTAAAACAAGGGTGGTTTATTTGCGAAACACAGTAACATCTTTTCAACTGGAGATACAACAGTAGCGGGGGAAAAATCCAAAACAACTACATGCTACAGAAAAAGGGCTTGGTTCTCACAAAATGGGAATGCTTATTAATTAGCTCTGCACATCTGCACACTGTCACACACAGAGCTCCATCGAGTAGAGCTTAGACAAGTTCCCACCAGCTACAACTTGGGGAATCCCAGGCCACTTTACACAATAAACCAGAAAAATACGCGGATGCCATAGGTCACAGCACACAGCATCGAATTCTGAAGTCCTAGCAGAATGCCAGGATAACACAAAGAGAGCACAGTTTGCCCAGAGAAGTAATTCTTTTTTATTAGCACAACTGATACATCTGGGAAAAAACCAAACAAACTTCTAGGCACGTCATTTTGCAGAAATTTCTATACCTTTCCTGGCTGTAAAAAAAAAAAAAGCTTGAAAAGGAGATTCAAGCACAAACGATGTTGTGGTATCAGCTGAACTTTTACAGACATATATGGGAAAAAAAAAGCTTTTATAAACATAACCTCTGTCGTTGCTAGCATGGAGCACGAACTCCAAAACCCATGAGACTCAAAAACCACACAGCTATCAGCAGCTGTGTCCATACGAGAGGAAGAAAAAACTTGACAAGGTCTGTCCAAGTCACCTTTCCCTGCTGCCTCATCAAGGACGTTAGGATAGGTACTGTCACCTTCCATCCCTGCTGCACATCTGTTGAGGGCCATGTAAGTCATTCTGCGACACTGCTGTGGTTGGACCTGGTAAGTCGTCTTGATTGCACGTCCCTAAAGCACTGATATTTCTGTCCTGCGTGTTTGCTCCTTTTTCATTTGGTGCCTCCTTGACACTGATAATTGCTGCACTAACACTTTTAGCCAGTAATTCTCCTTTCAGAATAATTCTTCTTAGTCCAACCATCATTTAAGGTGTTTCATTTGATTTGCCAGCTGAAAGGAACGTTAGTGTCAAGTCAGTAGATTACAGGCTTGTAAACCAGGAGTCTTAGAGGTTGCCAATGGCAAATTTTTTGCAGAAATCACTTAGTCCCTTAATGCCTAGCTTATCCACATAGTAAGAAATACTGGCAGACAGCAAAGGAATGATGAGAGGTTTTTGGGTTTTTTTTGTAATTAAGTATTGAAATCCTCTGATTAAAGATTTATGAAGGGATAAATCAGCTGTAGCATTTTGAGGGAAAAGATGTGTGGGAATATTCAGAACAGTTTTCTTTTTTGTCCCCTGTTCTTACCTCTAACACAACAGAAGCATTATTGCTCTGAAATTTCAATTTGAATATAAAAGTCATTTAAATTTTAAAATGTGGTGGAAACTACAGTTTTGAAATGGATGGACAGCCCGAAATAGCAGTTAAAGACAGTGATAAGTGAGAGGACAATAGGCAGACAAAAACGGAATTTAAGATGGTCTCTACAGAAGCAGAATCCTTCTTTGGTAAGCATCATAGCAGTTCAGCGATTTGGAAACAGGAAAGGAACGTATGGCATAAGAGGGGGAAAGGGAGAAGGTCTGGTAAGTGAAGAGAAAGCCTTCACACAATGGCACCCAACATTTACCAACTGCCCCTTTCATTTCTTTCCTGATGCAGGCTCAGTTACAGCCCAGAACTACTGCTGGGATCCAGACCTACTTGTCAAACGCCACCTCCAATAACAGAGACAAGCGGGTTTCCTTCCAACTGCAGTCATGTCTGAATTTTACTTCCGTGTTTCAGTGCCAACAAACTTGCTTAAAAATAACCACAGTAATATTGTTTGGTATAGTATGCCATTTAGTACTTACTACTCTGCTGGAACAAAACTAAACAAAGAAAGTAAGTCGGAGGCACAAATACTGCGTGTCCCAGAGTTTACAGTGACCTGAATACTGAAGGAACTGACCTGTTACGCATTACAGCATTTAATGCTGCTAGTTGAAAACTTATGCAATACTTAACTGAGGTGTAACTGAACTTCAGAACGCAGGAATACACTGACAGACTGCAGAAGAGCAAGCTCATGACCGCTTCTGCAGTATTTTCAAGAACCTTTGGTAAACTAAAGGAAAATCAGTTTAAGCTAAAAAGGCACACTGAAGGAGAAATAGAAACTAACCTGATTACTGGAATCTAAATCAACTTCATCAAGTCTAGAAGTGAGAGCATTGTGGACAGTTATGTGATGATGCATTGAAATGCATGTAAAATCTTTAGCATTCATAAAACAGAATGAAGTGTCATGCAGAAATTATTGTAACATCAATACCACAAATCAGTAATTTACTCCCATACAAAGTGTTATATTTGATATTTTCCTTGCCTGCTAAGAACATTACAGACACTAAACTAGAAGAAAAAAAAATATTATAGGAAATGTAAGAAAAAAACATTACATGGAGTTTGAAAATATCAATATTACTTACAAAAAAAAATCCCAAAGACATTAAATATAACGAGCAGTACTTAGAAGACATAATGGAAAGTCTGTTTCCTCTCTGTACAAAACACGAAAATAGGAAAATATACAACACTACCAAATAATAATGCCAAATTTGAAACTGAAATCATAAAACTCATCCAGAGTTACAGACTAATTGGATATTTATACAGTGAAAAGCAAAAAAAACCCCACCAAAAACCCCCAGAAGTTATAACAGAGAAGCACTGGAAGAACAGAGGACCAGCTGCCAAAGGATGCCTCTCACTCAAACTCTTTCCTGAGGCAGACTGGTGAGTTCAATGACAATGCATCATTTCTGCTGCACTCCTGAGCTTGCTGGTTAAACCAGTGAACTACGATCTTTTTTTCCAGTTTCCAAGGAAAACTGAAGTGGCCACGGTCACATAAGCAGATGCAGAAAAAGAAGTTTAGTTGTTGTTTGCAGGTAGGCTACCTAATGAAAAATAAAGTGAAGAAGCTCTGAAAGAAAACAGGCAGCACATGATTTTTGAATTCAGACTTCAATTAACTGGGTTCTAAAAGCAAAAAACACATCTTCCTTCTCCCCCTCTCCTACCCTGCCTTCCAGTCTTACAAATTTCCTATTTCCCTGCCCTGCTAATACCTGGTTGCTCTGTTCACTTTTCAGTAGCTTTCAGTTTCTCCAGACCCTCCTTCCCTCCTGCTGTTAAGGCTGCTTTCTTGCTATATACATGGCACTATCGAGGCAGGCCTATTGCAAGCTTGTTCAGCTTGGCAGCCCATCTATCTAGCCTAGAGCCTATTACCCATCCTCGTCCTCCATCAGCTTGACATCATTCCCAGTAAGATCCTTAAAAAGAAGTAAATATCCTAAAGAAAAAGCAACATAGATTAAACAACTCAATGTTGCAAACTTCATAGACACTGAAGTTTCCCCGTATTTCCTTCATATACTCCCTGTTGATACACTTATGTCCTGAAATATGTCTAGCAATGCTGACAAAACCGATTCAGAAGGCAAGACTCCCAAGGAAAGCAAATATCTCCACTTAGTTTCTCAAGCCTGTCTGTTTGTTTTT